AGCGCCCCGCGGTGGATCCCGCGGTTGAGGGCGCGGTGGGGCGGCGCGAAGTGAGGCGGGCGGGCCAGCTCCTTCCCCGAGGCCGCCCGCCTTGTCTGCGGGACCGGGAGGTAGCGGCAGTCTGGGGGGCGGTGTGTGTGTAGGGGGGTGTGGTGTGTGTGCCCTCCTGGACAGCCCTGCTGGCTGAGATGTTCCAGTGAGTCTGAAAGGGATGTTCGGTGCTCCTGGAAGGCCTGTCAGGCTGGAGACGGGTGAGCTTGAACGGAGCTGCCCGGCCTTGCCGCGCCCTTCACCGGTTTCTCGTTTCAGGAGAGGAGCATCACTTTGGGAACGCAGACTCCTTGACTCGCCCCCCTATAAAAGCATGTAGGTCCGCAGGTAGGTTTTAACTTGGAGAGGCTGCTGTGTGCACTGCTTGTAAATGTGCTGAAATGCAGAAGACTGGAGGAAGCGGTGGTTTTGGGGATTTAACACCTTTGCAGGTTTTAGTGTGGTTCCAGCGTACAGGTGAGGAAATCCTGCTGCCTTTTTTAGGTCATGTATGGAAGATGAGGAGCACTTCTCTGCCTTCCAAAAGGATCGGTGTGTGTAGAGCATGCTGAAACCCTTAGGTGGTTGTTTTACCTAGTGTATTGCTTGGAATAGTACTTCATCACAGCATTAAAATGGGGAATAAGTTTTTAAAGGCCGAATTTAAATAAAGTGTCTTGAGTTGCTAATAAACAGATTGCTGTAAGACTGCTCCATGCAGTGAGCAACACTGCTTATGAAGAAGTGCATAATTTGGGCTTGCCTGTCCTTTCTCTCACCAAGCATGCATCGGGACTCGCTCTGGGACACTGGGCTGGACAAGCTGCTGTGTTAGCTTTGTTGCACCTTCTTTTTTCTTTAGTTGATGAAAACTGTATCCCCGAAATTTTAGAGGGATGCTAACTTTGTATAATATAGTCACATGGCTTTAGCCTGTCATTCTATCAGAAAACTTCAAGCATATTGTATTTCCTTCCATTTTAGTTTGCAGCTCTATTTTTAGTTGGTCTGTATACATCACTAGTATGTGGCAATTCTCATATGGATGAGTTGGGTCAGCCTGAGACAGTTTCCCATTCCCATCTGTATTCTTGCAACAGGGCTGTCACCAAACTCTTGTTACAACTGTGGTGCATGGCCCTAATTACATGGCACTGCCCTTAAAAAGGGCTGCCAGTGTTACGTTTCAGAAGCAGAATCTTCAGGAGGTGTGGACAAATCATATCTTGAGGGAGGAAGAGAGATTGTGAGTATTTCTTTGGGAAAGTACAAAGTTTATCTGTGAAAAAAGCTGTGGGAAGCTGTTGCTCCCACACGATGGCTAACAGGGCACTAATGTGTTTAGTAATATAAACGTAGCTGAGTTGCTTTAGGATGTACATCTGAGTGTTTCTTATTTTTTAGTGTAGATGTCTCTCAAAATGAGGTCGGGGTGGGGTGGGGGAGAGATGCCCTCCCCCACCTCTCCAAACTCTTTAACAGCAGTATTTGATTGTAGTTACAACAGGCGTACAAGTCTGATGTTAAGAGACCTTAATGGTTTATATAGAAGCCAAGGAGTAATTTTTACCTCCTTGCAGCCCTCCCACCCATAGCTATGCAGAGTTTAGGGGAATGCAAGGTCTGAGGCAACAGGGCAAGCAAGTTGGATTTTTATAAGGATGTAATTGTCGTACTTCTCTGAGAGCAGAATGAAAGCAAAACCACAACTTGAGAAACTGGTTTCTGGCTTCTGCTTAGAGGTTTTAAATATAGATTTGGAAACTTGCTTCTAGAGCTAAAAAGCTTTAAGAACCTACAAACCCTGCCTTGTATCAGGCATCTCCTAGATCAGCGAGCTAAAGATACATGCTAGCAATCTCCATTGAAGTCATCTTAAAATACAGAAGTAGAGTGTACCAGTTAAAGGCAGGCACACTCGGTGGTTTTGGCACTCGAATTTGTGCTGTCTATAGTTGCTGTGCAACACTGTACAAGCGTGTTGCAGGCTTATGTCTGTGTTGAAACAGACTGAATCCACAGGGATAGATACGTACTAGACTTAGAAGAACAAGTTCCACTATGTTAAAATAGTGGCTTTATATTTTGGTTTATAAACTTGTAGTTTATGAATTTGGAGATTTCTAATCCTTTTGATTAAACTGGTGTATGAAATGGGGATAGTAAGAACGTCACTCTCTCCTGGTAGGTGACTGAGCATTAGGTAGCTGGCTAGCAGATTGGAGGTGGATTGGAAAATCCTCACTAGCTGCCTGGAAGGCAGGAATGATCCTTTGGGTAGGAAGCTTAAGGCCTTATAAGGAAAGAACAGGTATGTCTGGACTGGAATTTTATTTATGCACATTTCTAGGAAAGTTAAACTTCCTAAAGGGGGAGTTTACATTTCTCTGTAGGGGATGCCTTGCGTGCTGTCTGCTTGCACTAATGTGCTTTCTGTTGGTGATACTCGCTATTACAGAAGGTGCTGATTCACAAGCTGTCTTCATATGAGAAATGAAATAGTATATATTTAAATGTTTCCTTTTTACAACAATTTTTGAGAACGTTTTGAGGGACACGGAGTACTGATTGATGCAAAGAAGGGTAGAGGAATTAAAAAGTAGGGACTGCATGAGTAGCAGTCTTCAGGTTCATAGATCTTCTGGTCTTGTGATTACTAGCCACTGCTACTAGTGAGATTTTCCTTGCAAAACCTCAGTACATAGTGAAATATTATGGGTATATTGTTTGGCATTCCTGAAGATCAAGAAATTTGATGAGGATCTTCATTCTTAGTTTGGTGGGAAATCAGTCACTTAACAGCTTTTTAAGATGGTTTTGAAAACATCATATCCCACTCACTGCATGCAAATACTGTTGTACCTGTGACTTAATATCTTAGTTTAAAACTTAGAGTTTTCACCTTTGTTTGTGTTTTGGGTTTGATTTGTTGTGGGTTTTTTTATTTCCTTCCTTTGTATGCTTTGCATACACTGGCATACTAAAGCTTCCAGAATATTTTAGAAAAAGGTTTATGTTTTCTTTTCTTGAATTAAAATTAATAAACACTAGGTGGCAAGCTGTGTGTTGCCCTCACGCATATGGGAAAAGAGCTATAGAAACACATTAAACCCCAGAAGAGCCCAGAATTGTTAAAAGAATAAAAGGGTCCAGTGTTAATGTTATAGAGAAAAAGTTTTACTGATTGTATTTGTTCCTTTGTTGTTTCCTCTGCATGTGCCCTTCAGCTTGATTGCTGTGTCATGGTCTCTGTTCTACAGCTGTACTACAGCTTTTATTCCACACCTGAATTTCCCCCTGCCACTCCTTTTATCAGGGCAACCATGTGGTTGCACTTTATCCTTTCAAACCTCTTCTGGTGTTCTGCTTTTGACTGCTCTTCCAGTCCTGACCTTTGCTCTGTTATCTCACAGGGCATTTTTTCTTTCTAGTTAGTAATATTAACCAGGCTGGGTTTCAGCATCTGAATGGCTGGTAATTTTGGCAAACAATCTAAAGGTGTTGGTTTAGATTCTTCCTAGCTATCTGAGGGGATTAAGTTAGGAGCATAGGTTCCCTGTATTGTTGTTAGAGTTAATGAGAGAAAGAGACACAACTAAAGGATGGCTTGGCCTACATGAAAAGGGGACTTAAGTTCTGTATTTGCTTCTCTCTCTTCCCCCCCTGCCTAATGCTATAGAAGACAGCACAATTATTGGTTTTGTCTGCCCAAAGCTGTGGGAAAATTCTCTTTACTCCCATGCTTATGTATTTAGTAGTTTGCACTGAATCCCTTTAGTGTAAGGCATTTCTTGGCTCATAACATCTGGTGTCTTGATGTCTGTTTTTTTAAGTGGTTTTAAGCCAAGGACTCCTAAAAATAATTTTAAAAAAGTGTGTGGTAGTGTAGACAGCTATATTTTTAGTGAACTCAAATTTACCATTGGCTTTTCAAGTCTTAGTTGCCTTTGCTTACATTTTGAGAAAGTAACTCCTGGGAGATCACAACTTGAAAATCACTGATTTTAGCTCATGTATGTTCTGAAACTGTGTCTTGGGCACAAATGACACTGCACCTATACCAATTCTCCTTTTTTTTTTTTTTTTTTTTTTTTTTGACAGGCTCTTTTTTTCTGACAGGCATTTCTTCAGCTTATTTTCGTCAAGAGAGTCCATTAAAGGAAAAAGCAAAGGCTTATGACAGTAACGAACCCGAGAAACCATCAGAGCATCAACGAAACGTTTATACACTGTTAAAAGGTAGCAACACCAGTTTTATCAGTACCATTTCCATGATGTAATAAATGATTGCTTAAATGTCCTGAAATGACATTCTTTCAGTTCTGTTACAAAAGGGGGAGCTGTTGAGTTGAAATTTGAATGGTTGAAGAAGTTTAAAAAAAAAATAATTCAGGATGCACTCCTGCATATGAGTTAAATTAAAACTGATTGTCGTATGACAGTCATCTGCTTGGGTGTAAAACCTTAAAGTTCAAGAAGGCACAGTATTAAGCTTTGATTAAAAAAACATAGATCTCTTTTTTTTTTGAAAAGCAAACCAAAAAGTGAATAATATCTTACATGCTTTGAAAACCGTTATGAGAGTGGATCTTTGCTTCAGGCAAAGCAAAACTGTTATTTTTCTAAAAGTATGAGTTACTTTATCAGGAGGAAGCTGACTGTACCAAGTGATTTCAAAGTGAGGGAGGGCTTTTTCTGTTCATTGCTCAAGGTTTTTCCCCTTATATTTGTTACAGAAGCAATAGGGAAATACACTGAGAAAGAAAACATGGGATACTTTTTAGCCCAGCAGAAGATAGTTACGTTACTAGAGATGGTACATCCAAATAGATACACTATATAAGGGAGGTTTTTAGGAGAGCTGCTAAGTGGTCAGAGACTAAGGTGATGGCTTGCATTCATTTGGTGAGTAAGTCTCTATTGCACAGTGTTGTGGGAGGGCACTGGAAGCAGTTGTGAGTGCAGACTGACAAAACAGACATGAACCAGGTAGCTGAGATGGGCACAAGAACACCCCTGTGTCAGCCTGCTCTTTCCCAAGGAGCACATGCAGGCATTTTGCTCAGGCAGCGACAAACACGACCATGTTTGATGGAGTCCCCCTGGGCTGATAGCTATGTTATGGTGGTTGCTTTACACTGTTTATTTTTGGTTTTTCCCTCCTGCTAAACAGTTTTAGTTTCAGAATCTGGTACCCTCTATTAGCAGTTACTTTTTTTGTAAAAAAAAAAGGAAGGTTAATTTTGTGTCATATTGGGAAAAGGAGGGTGAAGGGCCAAATTAAGCCCTTTCTGTTAGATAATAGTAGATTTCTCCACCTACAGAGGGGTCCAAGAGGCTGTCAAACGGCACAGGCTTGGTTTGGCAGCACAGCATATACTCTTACCCTGTTCTCTGAGGATTTAATAGAAAAAGCTAAAAGCATGTATGGCTTGTCTGTCATTTCAACTTCTGATGTGATAACAAAGTTCTTTCATTTGTGCTTTGATTTCAGAAAGAAAGGCTGACTTCCTTGAGAAAAATCAGGAGCACTACTCATCTACATCACAGAGTAAGTAGAAAAACAGATACTTGGTCTTCCTCTGTAATTAAATAAAAAATAGAGAATTATTTTCCTTTCTTCTACTTATGGATTTTCTTGTGCCCAGGGCCACTGTCTGGGAAGGTAGAAAGGGACCCAGGAGGCAGCTCCAAATGGAAGCTGGAGAGGGCAGCACATTCCAGAGGCAGAGCCCATCTGTGAGGTTATTCAACTTGCTGACCACTGAAAATGACCCATTGTTTTTGTTTTTTTTTTTCCCCTTTTTGAATGGATTAGGAAATTGAGTTGATTCATGGGACAGTCAGTAAGTGCAGAGCATGTACTAGTGGCACTGTGGGGGTGAGCTGAGGAAGGGGACAAAAACTTCACCTTTTTTTAGCAGTGAATGTTGGATTAGTTTGTACATGTCACCTCCCATTCTAGCCTTTCCCTGACTAGGTGGCTTGCTACGATTTAATTAGTTGTCTTATACTCCTGGAGAGGAGCAGCATTTTTCTCCAGTCTGTTCATCTAATGACCTTGTGTTTCAGATTTTTGTCCTTGGTTGTTTTTGTAGATTTGTTGGTTTGGGTTTTTTCTCCTCTAGAAGAGTATTGAAAGAAAATAAAAATCTTCTGAATTCTTAGTAGCCTTCTGTTCTTAATGTCTCGGTGCTGCTTGTTTCTATCCTGAACAGATATAGATAAACAAAGTCTTGTAAATCCGAATTCAATCTGGAGAACCTGGCAGGGGTGGTTCAGGTTTTGGGTTTTTTTTTTCTTTGAAAACCATAGTGCCTTCCGAAAGAGAAGCTTCTCTTGTGGTAGCTGCCCATCTGTTAAACACCTTTGAAAAATTAACTGATGCTGGGAGTTCTCTCTAGTCTGGTACTTTTTCTTTCCTGTGCCAGAGGTAATAGGTGCTGCACGAGTGACCAGTTATGTGTTGGGTGAAGAACTTTGGAAAATCACTCTGAAAGCTCTAAGGTGTCTGCAGAAGTTACGCCTTTGGAGTTAGGCAAGACAAACAATTTTCTTGGCCTTCATGCAAATTGTGTTGTAAATAAGGCAAGATTCTTAGGTAGGATAGGATCTGGTTTTAGTCTGTTTATTGAAATATTTTTCCCCTAGGGTATGAATCACAGCTGTCTCCTAAATATGAAACCTGGTCTTGGCAAACAGGGCTACATTGTAAAATATTGCAGATTTGAGGCGATTTTGATCTGTTAACTATTAAAAGATTTACATGAGCGCATTCAATTACAAGCTCCATGTCTGTGTCCTATTGGGGTGGGGGGTTGAAATTACAGAATAATGTTGCTCATTATAAGCCAGTTAAACTCCAGCTTAAACCAGACCTGCTTTTAGCACCTTGTGTGATTACATTGATACAGAAACAAGGTTATAGAATTTATTCTAGTGTTCTCAAAATAACTACTGCAGGGTGTGTTTGTTCAGTTTATTCTCAGTAGTGCCATTGACAATATCCTTATTTGGTTATACATTATTAAAGAGCCTTCAGCTTTGAACCAGTTGCTGTAGTTCACAAGAAACCAGAAATTCTCATGTCTTTTTAATTAACTGACTAAATGCTAAAAACATGCTGACCAGTAATTGCACTGTATATATTCATACTGGTCTCTTGGGAAAGTTGTTCATTACACTCCTTTACGGATAATGTCTCTTTTACTTTGTTGTGTGGGCCCATTTAAATAAAGAGACCAAAAGTATATTTTGAAGTTGAAAGCTTGCATTTTGCTTTAAAAGCACAATTCATCCCAAGAAACTGACTGCTGATGAAGCAGACCTCTGACCCAAGCTAGACGGAGAGACAATATGAGGCTATGCCTTTAACATATCGCTTTCCTCTTGTTACTTTTATCTTGCATGATGTTATTTTTCTAATAGGTGTGTTAATTGAGCTTCCATTTTTCTGTGCCTCAGATTCTTGAGTAAAATCGGGAAACTTAATTGGGACATGGGATCCTTGTGCAGAAAATAACAGGTTGTTAAATCTCTGCCATTTTGTCATCTAGTACTTGAAATGCCTCTGATTTTATTTTCATAACTTTTCAAGAGTTAAAAATCTTTGGGTGTGATTTGTGATAGGTTGGGGACTTGTGCTTTTTATGCAAGATTGTCAAGATGGCTTAAGAACTGACATTTGGCAGATAGCGTAGATGGAGGGATGGTCTGCCAGTTGAATGGGACTTCTCAGGCTAGTAATAGTGGTGAAAGTACCATTTTCCTTGTTCAAGACCAGCTTTGCCTGAGTGCAGGAGGGTGAATGTTGCAGAAAAGGACAGAAGGCCCCACACCTGATACAGCCCTACCTGGAATGAGGTCACAGCTTTGACAAGGTTTGCTTCAACAAGGTGTTGTGCAAGGGTGCTTTGTTAACCTTCCTGTAAGCTTCGTAGAATTTTGTATGTAAAAGCACAATTAAGAACACCCTTTCATTGAAAATAATGCAGTTTGGCGATTTCAACTCACTGCTAAATTCCCCACTGGAAGATTGGTTATAATTGTTGTCTTAGTATTCTTCTCATTTTCTTTTCTTAATCTCTTAACAGGCAAAAGTAAATTTCGAGATCAGTCCAGTATAGGGAAGGAGTCACAGCCTTTGCCCAAAAGTAAGACTTCTGCTTTCACTTCTGTTTTGTGCTTGTGTTACATTTAACCATTTTCGTGCCTGTCCAAGTATTAAATTTCCTGGTAGCTGGTGTTAAACTGAGGGTCCTTGCCAGAACAGATGGTTTGCTTGCTAGGGCGTGTGTTTTCAGCACTAAGGAAGGAAGGGTGTTGTACAATAGGTAATGTTGCCACCTGAATTTAAGGTCTTCCATCTGTAGTGTTTACAATATTTGCTGCAAGATTAAAACCATGGCAGGCCTACTGGTGTTCTTATTTACCAGTTGTTGTGTTGCTGTCCTGGTAAAAGTTAGGATATAAAAAGGTAGTGTAAGGTATACAGTTCTTTCCTGTTTCCAGGGAGGTTGATATATTTTGTCACTGATTTTACTGGGAACAGAATCGAGCCTTATGCTTGTAGTATGTCACACAGCTGTTAATTTAACTGTTCAAATACCAAACCAAAATATCTGATATTCTCTGTGCAGTTTGCTGTGTGTACTCTTTGTAAAGCTGACTGATCCAGAGATCACAGATGTTTTCTGATAGCGTTGATCACCAGCATTTGAGATGCAGATACTACTGTAGATACTGGTTTTATCCTTATGAAGATAGGGAGGAGAAATAATAACACAGAAACCATTTTGGTGATACCAGGTTTTTGCAGAGCCTAAATGTAGGAAAAAGCTTGACCTTCTTCAGAACCATTTAGTTTGGATTTGATTAAATAGAATGGAGTATTGATAAACTTTCAGAACAGCTCCTTTTTCAGAAGAATGTCCAATTTCTTAGTCAATCTGGAAATGTGTAAAAAAAATTTTTTTTAATGCTGTCACTTAAGTTGCTAAAGAAGTTCAAAGCTGTTGTGTTTCTTTAATGAGAACATCTTTATGCTCTTCAACTGCTGTACCAGTAGGTTGAGATTGGGACAAGTTAATTGATTTCTACTTTTTCCTCTCACTTGTTGATTTCCGATTACTTTTAAAACATTGTTTTGTCCCTGTTTGCTCCTCCTTTCTGTAGATGGTGATGAATCGCAGAGTGGATTTCACAAGAACTGGACTTTGTTACTGGTTCTGTTATTTAGTGTCCCATTGCTTTATGTCCTGTGGAGTGGAATGCCAAGTCTTCTAGATGCAACTTTGTCAAGTAGAGATACTCAAATTCTGCAAGCATTTCGGGCCCGGATGAAGAAACTAAAAAATGCATACCAAAGTCAGGACCCCAGTCTGTGGAAAAGAACCCATGTGTTCCTTGAGAAACATCTTAATGCTTCCCATTTGCATTTGGAGCCAGCCATCTTACTGTTCGCAGCTGGCCAAGAAGCTGAGAAAGCGCTGAGGTGCCTAAGTAATGAGATTGCTGATGCTTTTGCCTTCTCCCAAAATGCTACTACAATCAAAATTAATGGGGCAGACAAAGCCGTATTGGATAGTGACGTCGTCAAGCTGGAGGTAGATAATGAGCTCAGCTCTGGGTTCAGAGAAGGCAAGAAGGTAGCAGTGGTGCATCGATTTGAGTTACTGCCTGCAGGCTCCACCTTAATCTTTTACAAATATTGTGACCATGAAAACGCAGCATTTAAGGATGTGGCTCTTCTGTTGACAGTTCTTCTGGATGAGCAGTCGCTGAGAAAGAGCCTCACCTTGCAAGAGGTTGAGGAGAAAGTCCGGGATTTCCTCTGGGCGAAGTTTACGAGTTCAGATGTTCCTAGTTCTTATAATAGCATGGACACAGATAAGCTGAGTGGACTGTGGAGCCGTATATCTCATCTTGTGTTGCCTGTTTGGCCTGAAAAAGGCCTCCCTGCAGAGGGATGCACATAAAGTTACTGGACAGGACTTGGGAAGGGAGGAAGACAGAAAATGTATGTTGCAGTGGCTGAACAGGGAAGAATTTATTGCAGCTGCTGAGCTCAGGCAGAGTACAGTCCTTTCTGTGCAGAGAAATTCCCCCAACTGGCAGGGTTGTTTCTGCTGAAGTAACTGGGTCTTCTCTAAATCAGCTGCAGAGTGTAAGCAAGGAACTTGCTGGTTGTTGGTAAGGTATGTTCAGTGACTTATTCAGGCTTGGTGTCCTGGAGCTGAAAGTGTCCGCTAGTGCAGAACCACTCCTCTTGCTTCTGAAGCTGTCGGTGCACTGTTGGCTTTGCTATGAGGATCCTGTTCTGGTGGTGCATAAAGCTGGTAGCTCGTTTGACAAGGTGACAGGGTGGAAAAACATCACCTTAATCTGCCGGAATTGCTTACTTCTAACATAAGAAAAAACATAAACTGAAAATGATGATAGTGATGTGAGTCTAAGCACAAGCTTTTTCTTGTTCCATCTGATCACAACATGGATGTCAAGCTGTCTCTGGTGACTTCTAGAAATGTCAAAATTGCTTGAAAGATTTGTGACTTGTAGGGAACCTTTCCACAAACATTTCTTCCTTAAATGAGCCTGCCCCGCACAGTTCTGGAAGAGTGAGAAAAGCAGAGGTACAGAGGATTGCTTAATGTTAGTAGTACTGACATCAGTTAAATAATCCTTCAGCACCTCTTTGCCTTGCTGCTTCCAGAAATTCTCTGTTCTTTGTCGAAGTTCTGCAAGTCTTAAAATCTGAGGAGGAAATTTTAAAATGCCAGCTGTGTGTATGCTATATTCTTCCCAAACAAAATCTTAGGAAGGTGTAGGTTATTACTCATTTTAATAAGGTAATTATTTTTGCATCAAGAGAATTTATTTATTTGGGGTACTTGGTATCCTAGAAAAATAACCTTTCTTCACGTGTCTGCGTATAACCTGCTGCTTGCTCTATAAGCTTCTAGTGAAGAACAGATTTGCAATGCATGTTTTTAAAATATATTTTTTTAGTGTGCCTCAAACTGAGAATCCCTCACACCAGGCTAAAAACATGTACTTTTTTTTTTTTTTTACACGAAATAGAAATAAAATTTAAAAAATAAAGAGAATTGCAGCACTTCCATTTCATTACTGTTAGTGTGTGCTCTTGAACTATTGGTTCATGTGCATTTGGTTTTATTGAGTATGAAGGAACATGGGAATACTGCTCTCAAATTAACAGGATGTTTTCTTGTAACAGCTGAGACATTAGTGGCTCTTGGACTCATCCTTTATTCAGAAGCCCCTTGAGCTGTCAAATGTCCTTCTTAGCCAGAAAAACTTCTTGAAGCTTCTGGCTTCTTTGTGCAAGCAAAGGTCTGGGGTATTAAGTGGAATGGACCAAAATCACCTTAAGCATGTAAAAGAATGCAGTTTGAGACACAGAGTTCTGGTCATTTAACCTAGGAGTGGATTTGTTCTAACCCCTGAGACCCAGCAATGGATAGTGCTTTTTATTTTAATGGGAAGAAATACAAACAGTGTAAAAAGTCATGGAAGTGCTGCTGTTCTGGGTGATTAAGAATAGCTCAGGAAGGAAAAGACGGCATTTACATTTTGGACATTTCACTGGACAAATTAAAAAAAAAAAACCCAAACTGTGACTTATTTCCAAGTGTGTCCTGATAGTATATTTGTATATTATGTCAAGTATTTTAGTGATAATTAAAAATAAATATACTTGTTTGTTTTATAACCTATTTTAAGATTTAGTTATTTAAGGTGGTCAGAGTCTTTTTTCTTTTTTTACATGTTTAAGATTGTTCATTTTACCTTTGACCAAATACAGATGGCTACAAAATTTAGAACTTTTAAGAAACTTGAGTGGGGTGGTAGATACTGGGGTGCAGATAATACCAGGGCTTTTCCCTAACAGGGAACATTTCAGAAAATTTTAATAGCTCTGAATTCTTTTACTTGGTGTTCTTTTACTAATTCCTCAGTTCTGATTTCAGCTGGAACCAATGGTAAGATATGGTTCACTTGTTTCATTAGTCCGATACAAGAGTCAGCAGCTGACAAAAGGGATGACTTCATTCTTGTTCCACTCCTGGCTGCATGTTCCTGTATCTCTGCTGTTGCAAACTAGTGCACCGTGAACTGACTGGAGGGACAATCTTACTAAAAACTAGCTTAGAAAAAAAAAAAGGATATAATTAGCAGAATTGGCAACCACAAAAAAAGGACTTAGTTATGACATGAAGGCAGGAGATTCCATACTCTTAAACAATTCAAACATATGTAATCCAGGTTATTTTCTGTTTCTAGGACTGCTCCCCCCAAGTTATGGGGTATTAAGGAGCTATGTTCCCTTGTTTCAAGACAAAATAGGAGGGTGCCTGGAAGGCTTAATGGTGTGCTAGACAAAAGCGAATCACTTTTTTTTTTTGGTAACTGTAGGGAAAGTGAAGTTGTATTTCCAGTTATATGGTGTGTTGCTTAGGAAAAATAAATGAAAAGCAAAATGGTATACACAGTAGCCCCTTCTGGAGGTGGTGAAAGGCTCAGGATTAGAAGGCTGTTTCTGCTCTTGAAGTAGTAGGTCCTTTTTTGTAGCTGTTTGTGGCTTTGTCCTTAAAAGGCTGTCATTAAATATCTACAGGTACTTAATATAAATCTCATTAACTCACTCTTCCTCAACCAGAGGTGAAGAGTAATGTCTGTCTGTCTTGCTCACAGACAGCTGATTACTATTCTCATATAATTATTTCATTGCCTGCAGCAAACATAGCCATTTGATGTTTTCCAAATTGTAAAATACTTTGGCTTCTTCTAGAGAAATCTCACTTCTGAAGTTGAACTGTCCTCAGCTGTCAGCAGAGCAGCAAATTTAATAGTGTGTGACAGCAAAAATGTGCTTATATAGAGCAAAAATACCAGATCTGGCCTTGGAACTGCAGAGGGGATGTTTCTTGTTCTGTGGGCTTACAGCATACAAACTTTGGGCAGACTACGATCTTTGGGGAGCTGAACACACCAATTTGCAGACAAAATTTCCAGCACTCTGCAAATTGGACTGGAAAATGCAGTCAAACTTGAGTGAGTACAGGTTGTGAGCAGACACCCGCAGCTGGTGAGAGCCCCCTTGTAGTGGCCAGCCCAGGTGGAAGGTGGACCTTGGCCCCTCTTCTACTCCTGCTGTGGAGGAGGGCAATACCCCTTCTGCCTTAAGCAGTGGATGTTGTAAAAGGGACCTAGAACAATGTGCAGCCCTGTCTGTTGTTACCTTGTCTTTCACACCCTGCTCTGAGTCATGTTGCATTGAGAGTGGAGTTTGGAGCGCGCTAAGCGGTGTTGTTAAAAGGACTAATATTTCCCACATTTTTTCACACCAACATTTTCTTTTTTCACAAATTAAAAAGGTCATGGTTTCTGTATCTTTTATTTTGTTTTGTTTTTAAAAAGATGCTTGTTTTGAACTACTAACTGATTCAGCTCAAACTGAGTGCAAAAGACAAGGTGAGCTCCATGTTAAGGTAGGCAGCTAATGCACCATCTGCAATGCAATCACCAGCGTGCTGTATTTAATAAAAAGAATCTGGTTTTGGAGGTGTACAATGATACATGAACAACTGGCCAGATTCTGTGCTAAGACCCTGTAGCACAGCTGGAAAGCAGAAGTGATTCCTTTATTTTCTAAGCCCAAATCACATAGAGAACAATTTTCCATGCATTGTTTCTGCTGCAAGACAAACTACAAAACTGTAAGAGTATGGAGAAGGTGGGGGGTGTTCCTGTAGTCCTCACAGCTGTCCTGTGTCCTGTTTTATTGTCAGCTCCTGACAGTTGGATTTATAATTGAATGCCTGGACAACCTCATTCCATGTCCAACAGGTGGAAGCACCCTTCCCCAAATTCCTCCGTGGCTTTTGGGAGCCATGTCAGTCAAGGAAAGGGGGGAGGGAGTCTGGGGGCTTGAGCCGATCTTGTGGCTGCAATAGCCAGCTGCCCCTTTCTAATTTTAGAAGGTGTGTGCAAGAGTAGTATGGAGTGGAAAACTTTCCAAACCTCTCTTAAAGCTGCAATACCCGTTAGCCCCAGATGAGATTGTGGCTCTTTAATTTTAATTTACTATCTCTCTCCATCCTCCACTTCCAGTGCTTGGGTAGTGTTTTCTGCGGTTACCTCCATTGCTTTGCAGTTTAGTGAGCAGTTGATCAAACTGGAGTGTGTTCAGTTCTTCCTTTTCTCTCAACTGTGGCTATTTGCAGGTAAACAGTTTCTTTATTTCTAAGTTCATAAGATGATTGTATTTTCTGTAATAATGCCTTTCTCTTCTCTTTTTGTGTGATGTTTCCCTGTCAGAGCTTTCTGCTCATTGGTAGGGAATCTCTGAAAAAGTAAACCTAAAGTTTTACTATTAAGTTCCACTGACAGATACAGAGAATAAATAGAAGCCATATAGAAGCAAAACCAGTAGACAAACATTGCCTTTTAATTTCATTTGACTGGCTGAAAATAAATGATTTTCATGTTTGAAAAATCTTAATGTGATGCCTTGTTTGCCTGAAGATGAAAAGAAGGAGCATGAAACTGCTTCCAAGTAGAAAAGAGAAACTCTGTTTAAAAGCATAATTAAAGAGGTAGTGCATTACAAAAGCGCTGAATAATTTAAATAGGCTGCCAATCCAGCAATATTAAGCAGTAAATTTAAGCAAACATTGGGTGATGACAGGGAATGTCATAATTTAATTTGCCCTAGTCTGAGATCAGGGCTCCCATACACTGTAGTAATATTGTTTTCATTGATGGAAATTGTCATTATTATCATTATTACTTAGTCTTTTGCATTTGGGAGGATCAGGTTTTCTCTCTGAGGACTCAGGACGGAATTAAGCACTACTTACCAATATATCCCATTGGAGCTTTGTTCATCTTTCGGCTGTTCACCTATTTTTTCCCCCATCTGGCAAAACAGAGTAGTTTTTGAAGGTTTAAACATCTCAAGCTTACCTCTTGTTTCAAAGGAGGTATGCTTATGAGGGAAGATATACTCTGTAATTAGTGTATGTAAAAGAGCCAAATTAAGGTTAAATGGGTATCCTGTAATTGTGACATGATTAAGGTCTGCGTGTGCTAAGCTTTGCATCTGTAATGGTCTCTCAATGTTTAGGGTGTTTTCGTATGGCGTTCCCATACTGGAGTAATTTACATGCAAGATGTTGACCATTTGCAAGAGGAGGGGCTATGTAAAAATAGTTTAATCCTTTTGGGTTAAAAAAAAAGGGGAAAAAGGTCTAGTAGTTTGATTCTGTAGTGATTGGGGTAGATAACTTTCCACCCCCATGCTCCCCCAAGAAATTTGGCATCTGTAGTCAAACAGTCATGCTAATGACTGAAAACCAGACTCAGGTGAAGTTGTAGACAAGCCCTGAAGGAGATATTCCCAAAATAACTGCAGGAAGCATTTTTTCCCCATTCTAATAACTTTCCTTCTTCAGTGGGAATAATCTTGTTACAGCTGGATAACATCTTAGACCTATTTTTGAAATGTGGGTGGTTTTAATGCATCTTTAGGGTGGAATCTATGCAACAGAAGATGGTATACTAACAAATCCTTCTGGCTTTATAATGACTTAAAAGTCAAATTAAGCCAGTGGTACGCAGTCATCCCTGTGAAGTATTGCAAATGTTGTTTATTTAAACTTAAATTTGGCAACTGGGAGACTCTAATCAGAGTTGCTTTCATTTTGAAAAAAAAATTAAATTATTTTTATAAAGATGACTTAGCTATGAATACAAATGACTAAAAGTGCCGTAGTTTCCACTGGAGCTGCTTCAGGAATGCCAGCATCGGCGTTGGCACTGCTCTGCAGCAGTGGTTTAATAAACATTGTGAAGTCCCTGTTCTTGCATCAAAACCAAGAGCTCTGCCACAGCTCTTTATTCTTCCACGAACCGGCAAATCAAGCCTGCACAACCGTGGAGGAGTGGGAGGGGAGGGATGCTTTGAGGAAAATACTGGAAAACGTTTTTCTGAGGTCAAGGCCTTGGGTCAAGCGCCCAGAGAACTGTGAGGAGTGAAACCTCCCCGAGCCCGGGGGGTGGCTGGAGGCCCGGCGGGAGGCCTGGCCGGGCCGCCCCGCCCCG